TCGCCCTATCCCAGGAACGGTACATCATGGACGTGCTCGCTCGGTTCCACTTCGACACCACGACTCGCGGCACTACAGTTCCGATGACTCCCGGCCTTTCGCTCACTGCTATCCCGGGTCAAGGCACCGAACGGATCAGGTCATGGTATCTGCAGGCTATCGGCTCGCTCCTCTACATTTCGCTCGGTACCCGCCCTGACATCGCCTTCGCCGTGTCCTACCTGGCCCGCTTCGCCAACAACCCCGGTCGTCGTCATTGGATTGCGGTCAAGCACATCCTACGCTATCTCCGGGCCACGTATCGCAACGAACTCGTGTATGCTCGCGGCCAGGCTCGCATCACGGGTGTGGTAGGCTACTCCGACGCGAACTGGGGGGCCTGCATCGACACATCGGTGTCCACCATGGGCTACGTCTTCTACATCGCTGGCTCGGCCGTGTCCTGGTCGTCCAAACGCCAGTCTCGAGTTGCCGATTCGACCACCGACGCTGAATACCTCGCCCTCTCGCATGCTGGCAAGGAAGGGATTTACCTCAGTCAGCTGCTCGAAGAGCTCCATGTACAACCTGTTGCACCGGCTCACATCTTTACTGACAACGAAGCCGCTGCTGCAGTTGCTCACGATCCTGTCCGCGTCTCTGGCACTCGGCACATACGCTTGCGTGAGCACTTCGTTCGGGACATGGTGAATCGGGGCGACATCTCTCTCTCGCATGTGGGTACCAGCGACATGGTGGCCGACATCTTCACCAAGGCTCTCGGCCCAAAGGTCTTCTCAACGCACTGCTACGCCCTCGGCCTTCGCACTCGACACCCGCGGCTTGGGTCTGCCTCGCATTCGCGTGGGGGGGGTGTGAAGAGTCCACTCTCAGCTCGACAGGGGCGCCTCGGTCGTTGCGCGCACTTGCTAGCCCGCCCCCGGCGGTGGGGACTTAGACGCGCGCGACTGCCTCAGCGCGCCAGCGCCGGCGGATTCATGCGCGCGCCCGCTAGCCCGCCCCCTTGCGGTGGGGACTTAGGCGCGCCGGCGATTTCACCCGCGGCTGACTTAGGGATGTACATTGTCACGCGCCTGGGACTATCCCAGCGTGGCCCCCCCCTTTCTGTTTCTTAGCTTCCTTCTCATCACTTCTGTTCGACTCTCAACCTCTCCTGACAGTAGTGGTGAACGTCTCATAGGTACGCTGAAATAGATCACTTCTGTTCGACTCTCAACCTCTCCTGACAGTAGTGGTGAACGTCTCATATCCTGGGCGTGACCCCGCAGTTCTTTTTGTCGAAGACGTAGCCGACGCAGCCGACAATTCTGCGATTCCGGAACGGATTGTTCGCGATTGGCGGAACGCTCGGGGCGCTCGTTCGTTCTTGGTTCGATGGGTAGGCCGTAACGACACCGACGATACTTGGATGTCAGAGCAGTCCATTCGCCTTGACCATCCGTCCGTCCTCGACGCCTACCTCGCGCGCCTCGATCGCTCGAACCGCCGCCTCGCCGCACGGTAGACTTCCTTCTGGGGGGGACAGTGTCAGGATGACAGCGTGTACTCGAAGGAAGCCCCCCAAGGCTATGTGCGGGTAGAGTTGACTTGACCAGAGGCTTGCCTCGTTTCACAGCATCGTCGGTGCGATGGCGTAGTCGTGAGGCGCGCAGGCGCGCACTCGGTGGTCGCGGGTTCGAGGCGCCCAGACCGCAGTCTTCTTTCGGTTTGTTTTATCTTTTGTTAGCCGAGGCGCGGCTTCAGGGTTTTTACCGGTGCTCCCGCGAGCAATCCTTTTTACCCCTGAGGCGACCTCTTGGAGTGGTTGATTTGGCTAAGTCCCCTCTGGGCCTGGCACAGTCCCTTCCCTTTAGTTTACCACCTTTCCCTGGGAGCTTGGTCCGCTCTTCTCTTTTGTTGCCCCTCCTCTTCTTGTCGATCGTTTGGGAATTAAGTCCGTTACACTTGATTTCCTGCGAGCCTTTCGACCGACTCCCCTCCTCGGTTGCTCCCTTGTCGACTGCCGCCGCAACAGCCGACACTTCCTGAAATCCCCCCCCCCCGTACCAACGCGTGTAGACGACGTCATCCCCTCCGACGTCGCTTGTCAGTCCTGGACGAGCAGTCGCCCCCACTCTCTGAGCCTGAGTCTTCAGCCTCCTCTCCGTTGCCGAATTCATCACCAACGAACGCGTCGCTGTCCTTCCCGACTTCCTCCACAGAGTCTGACGACGAACACGTTTATCCTTCCTACCCTTTCCGTCAACCGTCTCGTGCTCGCCTTCGTTCGCCCCGCAATCGCCGACGTTTGAGTCACGAGATTGCCATGGCCGACGAGCGCGACGTGTACCGTGCCGCCGCCGATGATCGAGACGCTCCTCTCCGCGACGAAGACCCCGGCCGCGCGAAACCGCCCAAGTCCCCGCCGCCTCAACCCTACCACACCGCCACCGCTCTATCGTCCCTCGAAAGCCGCCTCGAGGAATCCGAAGCCCGTCGTATCGACTCCGAGGAACGTGTTCAGCAATTGGAGAAGTTGGTGGAGGGTTTATTGAAAAGCTCACCTGAACCAGCTGCGGCGCGGGCCGGAGTCTCTGAACCAGCTGTGGCGCGGGCTGGATTCTCTGAACCAGCCGCAGCGCGGGCTGGGGAGTTTACGTTTACGCCGGTGAGATCGGTCCCCTTGGACGTTCCCCCACACACCATTCTGGAACGTTCAGGCAATACCGCTGACCCCCTTGTTCGTTCCCCTGGGGGGGAATCTCACAGCGCACGAAGGGACGGCCCTTCCTCGGCAGTAATCAGCTCTCGTTGGAGAGGGACGTTACCTGACCGGGAAGGGCTATGGACAGGGGATAATCCCGATCGGTTGGTCACTTTCACTACATTTGGGAAGTCGTACTTGTCTCTACTTTGCGACATTTCCACCAGCGACCTTTTTACCACCGACCGCGTCATCCAGCTTGTGGCGACCTTGTTCGTTCGTTCAACTTCTCCCAAGCGCCGTCAGTCTCCGCACGACTGGGCCGTTGATACTATGACGGACGCGCTCCGGGACGAACGACCTCACTGTTGGACGACACTGATGACAGAAGTTGGACGTCGTTGGCCGGATCCTGGCTTTGCCGACCGAGTGTCCCACGACTTCTACGGGTGCCGACAGTCTTCGTCTCGCGCCTACGACCATGTGGGCGAATGGCGTGCCCGCTACCGAGCGTTTATGCACAACGACCCCAGCTTCAGCCTCTCGCCCCTTCAACTCGCCACAACCTTTTATCAATCGTTGAGTGATGTGGCTAAGCGGGAAGTGCGGGCTGGTATGCTGCGGGAATATCGGGATAACTCACTCGTGACTATAGGGAGGTTCGGACGAACTGTCCCGTCCCTCGAGGAGGTTACCGACTGGGCCGCCATCGCCGACGACACCGGCACGACATCAGTTTCGACCCCGCCGATTCGTACGGCGACTTATGGAGCAATTGCAAAAACGCCACGCACCGCCCCATCCACGCCGAACGACGACGCACGTACTCAGATCCGTCGAGCTCGATGGATGAACCGCGCCGGTAAATGGCAACAGGCCCACCTGTGGAAGGATCGGAACACGTGGTTCTCGCCAGCATCGGGTGGGGTACCCGCCAGCATGGCGTGTTTTAATTGCGGTCAAGGTGGCCATTTCTCACAGCATTGTACAGCGGAGCGACAATCCCCCTCGACCGTCCAAATAGCAGCAATTGCCTTCGCCGACATGGACGAGGACGAATGGTCGTCGGCCTCAGGTGACGTTGAGGACCCCCAGGTGCGATTCCCCCTTCCCCTCGAGACTGATTTGACTCGACCGTCGAGTTCCGCATCCGCCTTAGTGACGCACCACTCTTGCCCTCCGGCAGACCCTGTTGGTCGAGTGAAAGACGTCGCCTCTTCTTCTTTTGAAGTTCAGACCTCATCAAGTAGTTCGCATCCAACCGTGCCGGCAAATGATGCAGATCAACATCGTCTCGACGATAGCCTGGCTGACATCGCGATTGACGCGGTGGAAGATGTCTTGTACTACGCTGATGCCGCGTCGCGCTTGTGTCATTATCCGGGGCCGGAAGTGGTGTCGTCTCGCAAGGCGGAAAGGACTGCTTCGGTGAGCTCTTTCCAGATTCTTGTGCCGTCGGGTGTGTCTCTCTTGGCGTCCGCTGTGCCCCTGATCGACATCGACGAACCCGACCGACCTGTCGAGCCCGCCATTGTACGCGCCCGCAACGTCATCGCGTGGACGCTACCTTCTGGAAGGGTTTTGCGATGTTTGATCGACTCGGGATCAGAGGTCGACTTGGTGGATCAGGAGGTGGTGCGAGTCGACCCGAGCTTCGCAACGGCCCGTTTGACTGCGCCGTTGCATTTGCGCCTCGGCACCCAGGATAAGTCCGACCGATGTTGGCAGGCAACGTCCTCTTCAGAAGACGTTGACTACACGCGGAGGAGGGGATCAGGCCGAAGGAAGGTCGACTGGGCGGGGGCAGGCGACCGAGGGACAACCGAGGAGGGGACGCGGTTGTGAGGCTCGCAGCAAGTCAAGTATATCGGACTTTATTGCCAACGAGATCGAAAACGAAGGATGAAGGTGAAGGGATCTTGGGAGATGTAGCGGACCAGGCTGAGTGGGAAGGTGCTAAAAACAAAAGGGAGGCACTCAGGCGCAGAGGGGACTTAGCCAATTCAGCTACTCCAAGAGGTCGCCTCAGGGGGAAAAAGGATTGCTCGCGGGAGCACCGGTAAAAACCCTGAGGCCGCGCCTCAGCTAACAAAAAGAACAAAAACCGAGAGAAGATTGCGCTCTGCGCGCCTTGAACCCGCGACCATTAAGTGCGCGCCCGCGCGCCGAACGACTACGCCATCACGCCCACAATGCTTGAATGGAGGGAAGCATTTGGTGACCTCAACTCTACCTGCACATTACCTCAGGGACTTCCTTCGAGTGTTGCTGTCAGTGTATCGCTGTTTGCCTGACATTGTCCCCCCCAGAAGGAAGTCTACCGGGAGGACAGGCGGCGATTTGAGCGATCGAGTTGTGCCAGGTAGGCGTCGAGTAGGGATGGATGGTCGAAGCGGAGGGACTGCTCTGACATCCAAGTGTCATCGATGTCCTTACGGCCAATCCATCGAACCAAGAACGAACGATTGCCCCGAGCGTTCCGACGATCGCGAACAATCCGTTCCGGAATGGCGGAGTTGTCGGCCGCGTCGGCTACATCTTCAACAAAAAGAACTGCGGGGTCACGCCCAGGGAACCTCTCAGCATCGTTCTCAACATAGGGGCGAAGCAGTCGAGCATGGAAGCGACTGTGCACTCGCGACATTGCTGGGGGAAGCTCGAGGTCGTAACTGGACGTCGCTGGAATGGCCGCTCGGATACGGAAAGGACCAATGTAGCGCGGCAACAACTTCGACTTCATCCCTTCAGGAACTGCCAGGTTCTTGGTCGAAAGATAGACATAACTGCCGGTCCGAAAGGCGGGATCATCCGGGCGTCGATGCTTGTTGGCCTGGTGAGTCTGATCGAGGCGTGCACCAATGATCGCATCCGTGACGTCGAGATTCCGTAACTGTCGGATTCGGGCAAACGCTTCCGCACGCGGGACGTCCGAGACAGACCAGGAATCGGTGGGCCAGCGTCGAGGAAGGTAACCGTAAGTCGCCTCGAAAGCCGACAGAGACGTGGAAACAGCAACGGAAGAGTTAAGAGCGAACTCAGCTTCAACAAGACGAGATGCCCAAGCCTCGTGGTTTGACGACACCATGATGCGCAGGGTTTGGGTGACCATCTTGATTCGGTTCTCACTCGATCCGTCGGTCTCTGGGTGCGCCGCTGTTGACATCCGCAAGACGGTGCCGACCTTCGCCTGCAATGCTCGCCAAAACTGCGAGGTGAACTTGGGATCGCGATCGGAAACGATGGCGGAAGGCGTCCCATGCAGTCGAAAGATGGTGGCGTAGTACCTGTCGGCAACGAGCTCGGAGTCGGCGTCGGCTGGGAGGGGAATCAGGTGGACCATCTTGCCCCAAGTGTCAGTGACCACCATGATTTGAGCGACCATCATCCCTTCGAACTCGACCGGAGGCAGTCCCGTCATGAAGTCGATGGCCACTTGTTCCCATGGGCCAGAAGGGATCGGCATCGGATGCAGTCGGCCATAAGGGACTTGAGTGGACGCTTTGCCTCGGGCACAATCTTCGCATGAATGGCAGAACTTGGCGCAATCGGCAGACATGGACGACCACCAATACAAAGGACGTATGGCGGCCAAGGTGATGCGATGTCCCGCGTGCCCGACGCTCCGATGGATCTCCGAAAGCACGAGCTCGCGCAGCGATGGGAGCTTGTCGGAGTCGACAACGCCGGTAGCGAGACCGCGAGGCACAAACAGGGAAAGAGACTCATCTGGATGTACACGCAAGATCCTCCCTTCCTCGGTCACCCGAAACATCGGCCATGACAGCGGGTCGTCAACAATGACTTGGGCTTGCGAATCGTGGGCGTAGGCTCGGATGACGGCGTCGAGGAAAGGTTGCGGCAGCGGGTCGGGCGGTCGATGGACTACAGGGGCGTCGTTGACCTCATCGGCGGCGGCTCCCAGTAAGTCGAGTTCATCGGCGTCGGCATCGACTGGAATGGGCGCGTCGTTGGCGGGGGCCGCGGCGATAGCATGAACTCGATTGACGGCGATGGGAGGAGAAAGGGGACCGGTAGAAGAGTCGACGGCGTCCATAATGTTCTCGGCCAGACGATGGGAACCGGGAGAGCCTGCGTCGTAGCCGTGATCCCAGGGCCCGAAGGCACAATCAACAGGGGGCAACCGATCGTGCGAAGGTGAGGTGTAAGGACGTTCCTCAGGGAGGCTCTCACCAGGTGTAGTGAACTCGTGGCATTCTTCCTTCAAGAACAAATTCCCTAAATCCCGTCCATTCACGTCCTCGTCTTGCGATTCGTCCTTGAGCGCGTAGTATCCGGGAGAGCCTGCCTCGCAATCGTCGCGTTGGGGCCCGAAGGCAAAATCAACAGGAGGCAACCGATCGGGAGATGGTGAGGTGTAAGGACGTTCCTCAGGGAGGCTCTCACCGTGTGTAGTGAATCCGTGGCGTTCTCCATCAAAGAACATATCCTCCAACTCATTCTCCTTGACCTGATCCTCGGGCGATCCCTCCTTGACTTCCCACAAGCGTGACAACGAATCGGCAAGGGAGTTGTTCTTGCCCGCAATGAATTCGAATTCGAAGTCGAAACGGCTGAGTTCGAGACACATGCGGATGTGCCGGGGTGTTTGGCGTAACTTCTGCGTTTTAATCGTGCGAAGGGCTTGGTGGTCGGTGACGATGACGAAGGGGTAACCGATCAAGTGCTGCTCGAACGCCCGACACGCCGAAACGACGGCTAAGAACTCCTTATCAGTGACGTGATAATTGAGCTGAGCGCCATTGAACTTAGCGGAGAAGAATCGCGTAGGAATGGCCTGCGAACGAGTGGGGCCCGAGGCCAGGCAAGCGCCAATGCCAACACGACTGGCATCGGTGAACAAGTAGATTTTGTGCTCGCCGGAGGTGACCTTAGCGCCGTCGATCGGTCGCAGTGTTGCTGGCACGAGGGACTTGACGGTGTCGAAGGCCTGCTGCTCGCGCTCGTTCCAACGCCACGACGTCGATTGCGCTAATAATGCGGTGATGGGCTCCAAGGTGATCGAGAGGTGGGGCAGGTGATCTCGCATCCAATTCACGGTGCCGAGGAAACGCTGAACGTCGGTCTTGTTGTGTGGAGTCGGCCACTGTCGGATACGCTCCCACTTGGCCGGGTCGACCTCGATGCCGTCGTCGGAGATGATCGCGCCCAAGGAATCTAACGACTTTGAGAACCACTCGGATTTGTTGGATCCTAAGTAGAACCGATAATGTCGCAGTGTCATCAGCAAAATCTCGATGTGTCTTAAGTGCGCGCGACGAGTATCGGAATGGACGTGAACATCGTCGAAAAAGATCTTGGCAAACGAGAGGCACGGCTGAAACATCGCCGATGTCAACAAGTTCAGGGTGTTGGGCGCATTGGTGTCCCCAAACTGCATCACCCGCGACGTGTACGTGCCCGTGACCGTGGCGAAGCCGGTGCGATCGACGTGCTCGGGTATGACCCGCACCTGCTCAAACGCTGCGGCCACGTCGAATTTGGACCGGTAGCGCGAACGTGCCACTTCGTAGCGAACACTGGTCATGTCGGGGATAGGTGAAAAACGCTTGGCGGTGTTGCTGTTGCGAGCGCGGAGGTCGATCACAAAGCGAGCGGTCTGGGAGTTCTTTTTCGGAATGGCGAAGACCGGAGCCGCAGAGTCGATCGGACCAGAAACCCAGAAGCGACCGCGAGTGTACTTAGCTGAATGCTCCGCCCACTGGCTACGATATTTGTCGGCAAGGGGATAGACCCTCGGCTTGACCTTCTCGTTGGGGTCGATCAAAGGGATTTCGTGATTGACGGGTCGATAAGGCGGGAGTCGGTCCATTGGGAGCGAATCTACGAACACATCAGAGTATTTCTCGAGTAAGGCAGCCAATCGTGTTCGTGCTTCGGACTCAGACAAATCCTCGAGCGCCGGGTCGTCGACGACATCCAGTAGAGGGTTGTGCGGCTCGAGGCCAATGATCTCGTCGTCAGGAAGCAACCCTGGGTGATCGTAGCCAATGGCAGAGCCGGAGCAGATGGGCGCCACCGTGACTGCGCGATCCCACTCGTGAGTGCCCTTGGCGACCGGCTGCGAAGGGCCCGGCCGTGCGACGGTGAAGACGCCCCAGCCTACCAGCATGCCGGTGTCCTTCAGAAACGGCAAACCCAGGATAGCATCATATGCCGTCACACGGCAAATGAAAAACGCCCGCAAGCCGAGGTCGAGGGAACCGGACGTGAAGAGGGCGTTGGCAAACACGGCGCAGCGGTCAGATTTGTCGCGAGTGCCGAGGCGCAAGTGCAGCGGCGCGGTAAGGCGGGACGTCGTGAAACTCGGGTCTGTTCGCACGACATCCTGATCCACCAAGTCCACTTCCGAACCAGAGTCGACGAGGCAACGCAGCGTTCGCCCAGACGGCAACGTCCACGCAATAATATTGCGGGCGCGCACAATCGCGGGCTCGGCGGTATGAAGGAACAATATACCACTGCACCAAAAGGCGAGGCACCTCTACTTCAGTGAGCGCATATTGTCCTAGAAGTGAGATGGAGCGAAGTTCAACACCCCCCTGTGCGCGAAGCTGAAGAGCTTGTGGCAGTGGGTGCGGCTTGTGAGGCAACTGGGCATGTTGATCAGGTCGCTTGGGCAAGTGCAGCTTGGGCACTGTGAGCACTGTCGATGCGCCAGGGTGCTTGGCACGCTGCTGGGCAAGTGCGGGGGCCGGGACGCTGAGTGTATGCGCGCAAAATTGCCTGACCCCAGGGGGGATTGAACTCATGAGCAGCTGGTAGCTCGTTGGGCTCATAACCTATGAAGGAACAATATACCACTGCACCAAAAGGCGAGGCACCTCTACTTCAGTGAGCGCATATTGTCCTAGAAGTGAGATGGAGCGAAGTTCAACAGGCGGGTCGGGCGAAGTCGTCGACGTCGATCAGGGGCGTGTCGGACTCCAAGAGAGAAACCCCCAACGGCACCGGAACACGAACAGAGCTCACCGATGCAGTCCTCTCCGCTTTGCGCGACGACACCACCTCCGGCCCCCAGTATCGCCGCATTCGCGACGCGGCATCAGCATAAGAGGGGACGTCTTCCACCGCGTCAAACGCAGAGTCGGTCGAGTCATCGGCAAGACGACGTAGATCTGCATCACTTGCCGGCGCGGTTGGCTGCGGATTACTTGATGAGACTTCGACGTCGACTGAAGAAGAAGCCCCTTCTTTCATTCGGCCAACGGGGTCTGCGGGAGGGCAAGAAGGGCGCGTCATTGAAGCGGAAACGGAACTCAAAGGTCGAGTCTGAACACGCTCGAGTGAAATGGGGACTCTCACCTCGGGATCCTCGTCACCACCTGCGACCGAGGACCAATCTTCGTCATCCAAGTCGGCCACAGCGACCGCTGAGAGTTGGACGGCGACCGGGGATTGACGCTCCGCGGTGCAGTGCTGCGAGAAATGACCGCCTCGTCCGCAGTTGAAGCAAGCCATGCTGGTGGGTACCCCGCTGGGCGCCGGGGAAAACCAGGTGGAGCGGTCCTTCCACAAGTGCGATTGCTGCCACTTAGTAGCGCGGTCGACCCATCGAGCTCGTCGGATCGGGAACCTCTCGTCGACGGTGGGCGTGTTGGTCGCAGGTGGGCTCACTCGGGGAGCTTTGACGATCGCGCCATAGGTCGCGGTGCGGCTTGGTGGGGTCGGAACCGAAGGCGGAGGAGAAATGTCGTCGGCGATAGCGGCCCACTCGGTAATCTCGTCGATGGACGGGACCTTCAGTCCGAATCGCCCAATTGTCACCAGCGAGTTGTCGTGGTATTCACGTAACATTCCCGCCCGCACTTCCCGCTTGGAGGAGTCACTGAGCGATTGGTAGAAGGTCGTGGCGAGCTGAAGCGGCGACAGGGTGAAACTATCGTTGTCGTGCACGAAGGCACGGTACCGCGCCCGCCACTCCCCGACATGGTCGTAAGCCCGAGACGACGACTGGCGACATCCGTGGAAGTCTTGAGCCACTCTATCGGCGAACCCGGGGTCGGGCCAACGACGTCCCACTGCCTTCATGAGCGACGTCCAACAATGAGGGCGCCCTTCTCCAAGCGCGTCCCTCATCGCCTCGACGGCCCAATCGAGCGGGGATTGGCGGCGCTGTCGGGTTGTCGTACGAAAAAATAGCGTCGCCACAAGCTGGATCACTCGGCTCGTGTCGAAAAGGTCGGAGGTGGAGATGTCGCACAAGAGAGAAAGATACGACTCCCCAAACGCAGTGAAAATCACCAACCTTTCCGGATGATCTCCGGTCCATAACCCTTCCCGGTCCGGCAATGTCCCTCTCCAACGAGAGCTAATCACCGCCGAGGAAGGGCCGTCCCTAATTCCGCTGTGAGATTCCCCCCCAGGGGTACGAGCAAGGGGGTCAGCGGCAGCTCCCGGGCGTCCCAAAAATGTGTGCGGGGGGACGTCCAGGGGGACCGGTCTCACCGGCAGAGCCTCCCCGACCTGCGCCCCAGCAGGTGCGGTGGATTCTCTCATCAATCGTTCCACCATCTGCTCCAATTTGCGGATGCGTGTCTCCGAGTCGCGGCGCAGGGCTTCCGATTCTGCGAGGCGGGATTCAAGGGACGTGATGACGGCGGCGGCCTGGAGCGGGTGCGGCGAATGCGTCGGCGGGGACTTAGGCGGATTCGCGCGCGAGGGGTCTTCGCGGACGGGGGCGGTGGTGTCTCGCGACGTGTCGGTGGGTTCGGCCATGGCGAGTTCGCGGCGTAGCGGTTGGCGGTTGTGGGGAGAACGGATGCGAGCTCGAGAAGGATGGAAGAAGGGGTACGAAGGGATGACGCGTTCGTCGTCGGACTCAGTGAATGAGGTGGCGAATGACCACGACGCGTCAGCGGGGGATGAGTTCGGCAACGGGGAGGAAGCTGACGACTCAGGGGTAGTGGACGATTGCTCGTCCAGGATGCAGGATAGAGCAAGGGCAAGCGAGATCGAAGGTTGGCGGTGCCGGACTTGAAAAAAGTGGCAGGCAACGTCCTCTTCAGAAGACGTTGACTACACGCGGAGGAGGGGATCAGGCCGAAGGAAGGTCGACTGGGCGGGGGCAGGCGACCGAGGGACAACCGAGGAGGGGACGCGGTTGTGAGGCTCGCAGCAAGTCAAGTATATCGGACTTTATTGCCAACGAGATCGAAAACGAAGGATGAAGGTGAAGGGATCTTGGGAGATGTAGCGGACCAGGCTGAGTGGGAAGGTGCTAAAAACAAAAGGGAGGCACTCAGGCGCAGAGGGGACTTAGCCAATTCAGCTACTCCAAGAGGTCGCCTCAGGGGGAAAAAGGATTGCTCGCGGGAGCACCGGTAAAAACCCTGAGGCCGCGCCTCAGCTAACAAAAAGAACAAAAACCGAGAGAAGATTGCGCTCTGCGCGCCTTGAACCCGCGACCATTAAGTGCGCGCCCGTGCGCCGAACGACTACGCCATCACGCCCACAATGCTTGAATGGAGGGAAGCATTTGGTGACCTCAACTCTACCTGCACATTACCTCAGGGACTTCCTTCGAGTGTTGCTGTCAGTGTATCGCTGTTTGCCTGACAGATGTGCTGTGTTCGCCACCGCTCCTTTTTCGTCTGGTGCCCTAGATCTCGGTTTGCGACCATTCTTCGTTTGCCGGGTAACGGCGTACGACGCCATCTTGGGGCTGCCATTTCTTAAGGACACAGGCATGCTCGTTGGTTGGGGCGCCTTCACCGTCGCGCGCACCGGCCCTTCGCAACCCGTCGCCCAGGATACGCACGAATGGGACCGAGCCGTCACCGTAGCACCTATCTTATCTGGTTCTGCCATTGGCTGCAATCACCCTGGGTTGCTCCCCGACGACGAGATCATCGGCCTCGAGCCACACAACCCGCTGCTTGATGTCGTCGACGATCCGGCGCTCGACGATTTCTCTGAGTCCGAAGCACGAACACGATTGGCTGCCTTACTCGAGAAATTTTCTGATGTGTTCGTAGATTCGCTACCGATGGACCAACTCCCACCGTACCGGCCAGTCAACCACGAGATCCCGTTGATCGATCCCACCGAAAAGGTCAAACCCCGGGTATACCCCCTTGCCGACAAATATCGCAGCCAGTGGGCGGAACACTCAGCTAAGTACACTCGTGGTCGATTCTGGGTTTCGGGTCCGATCGATTCTGCGGCTCCGGTCTTTGCCATTCCGAAGAAGAACTCCCAGACGGCTCGTTTCGTGATCGACCTCCGCGCGCGCAACAGCAACACCGTCAAGCGTTTTTCGCCCATCCCGGACATGACCAATGTTCGATACGAGGTGGCTCGATCGCGTTATCGCTCTAAATTCGACGTGGCCGCGGCATTTGAGCAGGTTCGGGTCATACCGGAGCACGTCGATCGCACCGGCTTCGCAACGGTGACGGGCACGTACACGTCGCGGGTCATGCAGTTTGGTGACACCAATGCGCCCAATACCCTCAACCTCTTAACCTCGGCGATGTTCCAGCCGTGTCTCCCGTTCGCCAAGATCTTTTTCGACGATGTCCACGTCCATTCCGATACCCGTCGCGCGCACTTGAGACACATCAAGATCCTGCTGATGACATTGAGACATTACCGGTTCTACTTAGGATCCAAGAAGTCCGAGTGGTTCTCAAAGTCGTTGGACTCCTTGGGCACCATCATTTCCGACGTCGGCATCGAAGTCGACCCCGCCAAGTGGGTGCGTATCCGTCAGTGGCCGATCCCGTGCAACAAGACCGATGTCCAGCGCTTCCTCGGCACCGTCAACTGGATGCGAGATCACCTACCGCACCTCTCAAAGATTTTGGAGCCGATCACCGCGTTAATGGCGCAATCGACGTCATGGCGTTGGAACGAGCGAGAACAGCAGGCTTTCGATACCGTCAAGTCCCTTGTGCCCGCCATCCTACGACCGATCGATGGCGCCAAGGTTACCTCGGGCGAGCACAAGATGTACCTCTTCACGGATGCCAGTCGGGTTGGCATTGGCGCTTGTTTGGCGTCCGGGCCCAACCGTTCGCAGGCCGTTCCAACGCGATTCTTTTCCGCTAAGTTCAACGGTGCTCAGCTCAACTATCATGTCACTGATAAAGAGTTCTTGGCTGTCGTCTCGGCGTGTCGGGCGTTCGAGCAGCACTTGATCGGTTACCCCTTCGTCATCGTCACCGACCATCAGGCCCTTCGCACGATAAAAACCCAAAAACTGCGCCAAACGCCTCGGCACATCCGCATGTGTCTCGAACTTAGCCGTTTCGACTTCGAATTTGAATTCATTGCTGGCAAGAACAACACCCTGGCCGATTCGTTGTCGCGTCTGTGGGAGGTCAAGGAGGGATCGCACGAGGATCAGGTCAAGGAGAATGAGTTGGAGGACATGTTCTTTGATGGAGAACGCCACGAATTCACTACACCCGGTGAGAGCCTCCCTGAGGAACGTCCTTGCACTTCACCATCTCCCGATCGGTTGCCTCCTGTTGATTTTGCCCTCGGGCCCCAACACGACGATTGCGAGGCAGGCTCTCCCGGATACTACGCGCTCAAGGAGGAATCGCAAGACGAGGACGTGAATGGACAGGAATTAGGGAATTTGTTCTTGAAGGAAGAATGCCACGAGTTCATTACGCCCGGTGAGAGCCTCCTCGAGGAACGTCCTTACACCTCACCTTCGCACGATCGGTTGCCCCCTGTTGATTGCGCCTTCGGGCCCTGGGGTCACGGTTACGACGCAGGCTCTCCCGGTTCCCCTCATCTGGCCGAGAACATTATGGACGCCGTCGATTCGTCTATCGGCCGCCTCTCTCCTCCCATCGCTGTCAATCGAGTTCACGCTATCGCTGCGGCTCCCGCCAACGACCCGCCCATTCCGGTCGATGCCGACGCCGACGAACTCGATTTGTTGGGAGTTGCCACCGATGACGTCAACGACACCCCTGTAGTCCATCGGCCGCCTGATCCACTGCCCCAACCCTTCCTCGACACCGTCATCCGAGCATACGCCAACGATTCGCAAGCCCAGGTCATCATTACCGACCCGCTATCATGGCCTATGTTTCGGGTGACCGAGGAAGGGAGGATTTTGCGTGTACATCCAGATGAGTCTCTTTCCTTGTTTGTGCCTCGTGGTCTCGCTACTGGCGTCGTCAACTCCGACAAGGTCCCATCGCTGCGCGAGCTCGTGCTTTCGGAGATTCATCGAAGTGTCGGGCATGCAGGACATCGCATCACCTTGGCCGCCATCCGTCCTTTGTACTGGTGGTCGTCCATGTCTGCCGATTGCGCCGAGTTCTGCCGTTCATGTGAAGACTGTACCCGAGGCAAGGCGTCCACTCAAGTCCCCTATGGCCGACTGCATCCGATGCCGATCCCTTCTGGTCCTTGGGAACAAGTGGCCATCGACTTCATGACAGGACTGCCTCCGGTCGAGCTCGAAGGGATGATGGTTGCTCAAATCATGGTGGTCACTGACACTTGGGGCAAGATGGTATGAAGGAACAATATACCACTGCACCAAAAGGCGAGGCACCTCTACTTCAGTGAGCGCATATTGTCCTAGAAGTGAGATGGAGCAAAGTTCAACACCCCCCTGTGCGCGAAGCTGAAGAGCTTGTGGCAGTGGGTGCGGCTGTGAGGCAACTGGGCATGTTGATCAGGTCGCTTGGGCAAGTGCAGCTTGGGCACTGTGAGCACTGTCGATGCGCCAGGGTGCTTGGCACGCCGCTGGGCAAGTGCGGGGGCCGGGACGCTGAGTGTATGCGCGCAAAATTGCCTGACCCCAGGGGGGATTGAACTCATGACCTGCTGGTTGCTCTGGGCTCATAACCTATGAGATGATCACCACTACTGTCAGGAGAAGTCGAGAGTCGAACAGAAGTGATCTATTTCAGCGTACCTATGAGATGATCACCACTACTGTCAGGAGAAGTCGAGAGTCGAACAGAAGTGATGAGAAGGAAGCTAAGAAATGGAAAGGTGGCCCGCGCTGGGATATGCCCAGGCGCGGGCGAAATCGCTGGAGCGCTGAGGCAGTCGCGCGCGGCTAAGTCCCCACTGCAAGGGCGGGCTAGCGGCGCGCGCCCGAAAACCGCCGGCGCCGGCGCGCTGAGGCACTCGCGCGCGCCTAAGTCCCCACCACAGGGGCCAGGCTAGCAGGCGCGCGCAACGACCGAGGCGCCCCTGTCGAGCTGAGAGTGGACTCTTCACACCCCCCCCACGCGAATGCGAGGCAGATCCAAGCCGTGGGTGTCGAGTGCGAAGGCCTAGTGCGTAGCAGTGTGTCGAGAAAATCTTTGGGCCAAGAGCCTTTGTGAAGATGTCGGCCACCATGTTGCTGGTTCCCACATGCGAGAGTGAGATATCGCCCCGATTCACCATGTCCCGAACAAAGTGCTCGCGCAAGCGTATGTGTCGAGTGCCGGAGACGCGGACAGGGTCGTGGGCAACTGCGGCAGCGGCTTCATTGTCAGTAAAAATGTGAGCCGGTGCAACAGGTTGGACATGGAGCTCCTCGAGCAGCTGACTGAGGTAGATCCCTTCCTTGCCAGCATGCGAGAGGGCGAGGTATTCAGCGTCGGTGGTAGAATCGGCAACTCGAGATTGACGCTTGGACGACCAAGACACGGCGGATCCGGCAATGTAGAAGACGTAGCCCATAGTGGACACCGACGTATCGACGCAGGCCCCCCAGTTCGCGTCGGAGTAGCCAACCACGCCCGTGATGCGTGTCTCGCCGCAAGCATAAACCAGTTCGTCGCGATATGTGGCCCGGAGATAGCGGAGGATGTGCTTGACCGCGATCCAGTGACGACGTCCAGGGTTGTTGGCGAAGCGGGCCAGGTAGGACACGGCGAAGGCGATGTCGGGGCGGGTGCCGAGCGAAATGTAGAGGAGCGAGCCGATAGCCTGCAGATACCATGACCTGATCCGTTCGGTGCCTTGACCCGGGATGGCGGTGAGCGAAAGGCCGGGGGTCATCGGGACTGTAGTGCCGCGAGTCGTGGTGTCGAAGTGGAACCGAGCAAGCACGTCCATGATGTACCGTTCCTGGGACAGGGCAATAGAACCGTCTTCGAGTCGCCTGATCTGGATGCCGAGGATGTACTCTGCCGGGCCGAGGCGCTTGACGCCGTAGCGTTGTTCGAGGCCCGAGATGACACGTTCAATTTCGGCCAAGTCGGGGCTGATCATCAGGAGGTCGTCGACGTACAGCGCGATGTAGTGTGGGCGTCGCCGATCGTCGATCCGAGAGTACACGCAGTGGTCGGTGCCCGTCGCCGTATAGCCGAGATCTCGAAGCGATGCGTCGATGTGTCGATTCCAGATTCGGCCAGCCTGTTTGAGTCCGTAGATGGAGCGTCGCAGACGAAGCACCTTGTCGGTGGGAAGGTCGAAGCCGCGCGGTGTCGTCATCCAGATGTCATGGTCAAGGTCGCCATGCAGATAGGCTTTGTCGATGTCCGCCTGGTGCACGTGCAAGCCGTTGGCGGCCGCCAGCGCGAGGAGTGAGCGTATCGAGGAGAAGCGTGCGACTGGTGCGAAGGTTTCGTTGAAGTCGATGCCGTCGCGTTGCCGATTTCCCTGCGCCACGAGCCGTGCCTTGTGGCCGGTGACTTCGCCGAGTGCATTCCGTTTCGTTTTCCAGACGAACTTGGATGTGACGATGGTCGCACCCGCTGGTACCGTGGATCGGTCCTCGATGGTGAAGACCTTGAAGTCGTCGCGCATGGAATTGAACTCGTCGGTAGCGGCCTTGGCCCACACTTCGCGCTTGTCACTCGACATTGCCTCGCGCCATGTCTGTGGGTCGCTGGTGATGGACTTGACTGGTTGAATGGCTTCTGTGTCAGAGTTGTCGTCGTCGGTGGCGATGAAGGCGCGGTGGTGTTGGGTGAGGAAATCGATTTCGTCCGGCGATTCATCGCGCGAGTGGCGCCCAATGATGTCGAGTTCGTCGGGCGACTCCTCAGCCGATGCGGGCTCACGGTACGTGCTGAAGTCTGGGCGGTGCACGTCCGGTGGGCCGAGGCGAGTCGGGGTCTGTGAGCCGATGAGGTCCAGAGGGTCGGCGGAGTAGTCAGAGTCGGTCGGTAAGGCCGAGGGTGACGATGACGCAGCCAACGACGGTGACAGCGCAGGCGACGGTGACAAGGGAGTTGCGGGCGACGGTGACGAGGACGGCTCAGGAGACGGTGACGAGGACGATTCGGCATCTGTGGAATTAAGTAAGGTTCCGCCAGTGTACCCTGGGGCCACGTCAACGGCGCTCATGGCAGAGTCATCAAGAGAGGATGAGACGTCCATGTGCGCCGACCTTACTAGTGGGGTCCATGTCTTGACAACGGCTTGGGATTCGGTGGTCGGGCAAGCGCTGGCGAAGTGCGTGTCGGCGTCTTGCTCGGTGGAGTCGCTACGTAACCCGGGAAATTCGTTGTCGAGGAACCTGGCATTTCTGCCCAAACTGATCTTCTTGGTCGTCGTGTCGTAGAAACGGAAGGCTTTAGAAGCCAGGTCATAGCCGGTGAAGAGAACGCGAACCGCTTTCGGGTCGAGTTTCGAGCGAAGTTCAGGCGCGACTGTGAGCCAAGCCGTGCAGCCGAACGGGTGAAGCGCCGAGGCGTTGGTGCGGTCGCCCTGCCAGGCGAAGTTCGGTGTTGCCTTGTCCAGGGCCGAGTGTTCGCACAGGTTCTTGCAGTAGACGAAATAAGCTGCTGCCTCCTCCCAGAATGATTTGGGTAAGTGGGCGTCTGCAAGGAGGGCAAGGACACCTTCGACGATAGAACGATTGACTCGTTCGGCACGACCGTTCTGTTGAGGCGTTCGAGGGATAGAGTATTGTCGACGTGTGCCGCGTGCCTTACAGAATTCCGTGAACGCTCTCGAACAGTATTCGCCACCATTGTCGGTTCGGAGGACCTTCAGTTTTGCATCCGTCTCGAGTTCGACCTCGGCAAGCCATGTCTTGAACACGCCAAAGACTTCGCTTTTGTGTCCGATCGCGTATGCCCACAGTTTGCGCGAGAAGTCGTCAAGAAACGTGACCAGGTAACGCTTGCCAGTCAAGGACGACTCGGGAAAGGAAAGCACATCGCTGTGTACGAGGCCGAGTCTCTCTGAGGAGTGCGAGTCCGAATCGGGAAAAGGAAGACGATGGCCCTTTGCACTGAGGCAAGCATTGCAGACAAACTTCTCTACCTCTTCGTCACTATATCCGGCCCCGAGACCTTCCAGCAAACCAGCGGCAACCATCTTCTGTATGGACGACGGTGCGAGATGGCCGAGGCAGCGGTGAAGGGTCAGCAGGGGCACGGAAGACTGTGAGCGAGAGAGGAGAGCGAGATGCTGACATTTGGAATGATCAGCGTCCAGCAAGTAGAGCCCTTCCTCGAGTCTTGCGCCTTCAGCGATAGCATTGCCGTTCTTGTCGATATGGATGCCGTGCTTCGTGAAGGCGACACGGACATCGTCGGTGTCGCAAAGTCGAGAGACCGAGAGGAGGTTGACAGACAGGCCCGGGGTGTGCAGCACGCCGGTAAGCGTGATCGGGTGACCGGAGGCGGCAACAAAGGCGATGTTTCCCGTTCCGACGGCGTTGATGCCCCCTGCAATACCACCAATCTTCGTAGGAGCGATGTGGCGATAGGCCGTGAACAGCGACTTGTCCGAGACCATGTGCGAAGTGTGAGGAATCCACTCTCCGCTCGGCTCAGGACTTAGGCGCGCGGAGCGAACCGGGCGCGGACTTAGGCGCGCGGAGTGAGCCGGGCGCCCCGGCCCAGGACTTAGGCGCGCGAAGCGAGCCTGGGACTTAGGCGCGCGGAGCGAGCCTGGGCCATTGGCTCAGCCCCAGGCTCGCTGGCTGTGGACTTGGGGCGCGCGGGTCTCTTATTGTTAGCTTCCTATTCATCACTCTTGGCTATAACTACATCGCTGACGTAGTAGAGTTGATTGAATAGGTATGTTGAAATGCATTCATCACTCTTGGCTATAACTACATCGCTGACGTAGTAGAGTTGATTGAATAGGTTATAAGCCCACGAGCTACCAGCCCCGCCGCTTGAGGCTTTTTCGCTCGAGCCCAGCCACTCGAGCCGCACACGTCCATCGCACCATCACATCATGGACAGCTCTCCCGCCTCGCCTTTGGCCCCCAGGGATCCCAGCTCCCCTGAATCTTCGATCGGCGAACAAATCGCCACTCTACAGGCCCAGCTTGCCGCTCTGCAGGCCTCGCAACCCGCCGTCGCCGCAGCCGCCGCACCCCCGGCCGTCACCGTCGTGCCGGGGAACGCCGCCACCGCATCCAAGGTCGTGTTTCCCAAGCACGCTCGTCTGGACGGCCCCAAGTCGTTCACCAACTGGTTGCGTCAACTCCGTCTTGCACTCCCGAACCAGGTTCGTGGTTACGTTCTCGACGGTGTCGTTCCCCCGACCTGGACCGCCGACCAGCTTGCCGCACGTGACGACGCCGCCCGGGAAATCATCGTTGGCTCTATCGACTCCGCCGACGTATCGGCCACCCTCGACGCCATCCCCAGCGACGACCTGTCGGCACCGCGCATCTTTGCCGCTCTCAAGGCTCGTTTTGCACCGGACGACGCTACACGCACTCTCGAGTTGTTCGCTCGCCTTTGGGACTTCAGGAAGATGCCTGCCTCCGTCGAGGCCTACGACACTTGGCTACGCGAGTACATGTCGATTGCTCAAGAAATACGCGACGCCAAAACATCGCTCAACGACGTGCTCGCCACCCACGTGCTCGCCATGGTCCCGTCTTGCCTCGACAGCTTCCGACTCACGTTCACGGACGAGCAGCGAAACCGACGCGACCTTCCCGAACTCACGACGCTTACGGACCGCATTCGCATCCAGCTTCGTTCGGCAGGACTCTCGACCTCGCATTCGGCCATGCTTGCCACCAGCTCCCCCTGCCCCGCCTGCCGCGCTCCCGGTCACCGCCTGCGCGACTGCACTTCACGTGCGAAGCACCCGCCCACCGGCCCCTGCCGCCGATGCCACAAGAAAGGTCACTGGGCACTCGACTGCAAGAACCGGGGTGAACAGGCACGTAGCAGCGACGACACCCAGGACGACACGTCTTCCTCCGCGGCCTCGCAACCGAACGTCGGCTATTTCGCCTCCTGCCTCTTCGCTCGTCGCCAACTCCCAACTGACGCCTTTGTAGTCGATTCGGGTGCCACGACACACATGGTCGCCGACCGATCTCTATTCACGACTTATCGTCAGACGGCACACACCAAGATCGGCGGCATCGCGGGCGGCATCACGGCTATCGGCATGGGGGACGTGGCATTCGTCGCCAAGACTGGACACCCGATCACGCTCCGTGGTGTTCTTCACACGCCTGGCCTACACGTCAACCTCCTCTCTGTCTCTCGCCTCTGCGACACCGACCGCGTTCGTCTCGCCTTCACCAGCGACGGCATCGACATCGCCAAGGACGGCCGGGCCATTGCTCACGGTACCAGGGTCAACGACGGTCTTTACCTTTTGGACGCGGATCACACCAAGTGTCAGCATCTTGCCTTCCTCTCACGCTCTGAGTCTCCCGTGCCCCTGCTTACCCTACACCGCTGCCTCGGCCATCTTGCCCCATCCTCTATACAGAAGATGATTGCTGCAGGTTTGCTGGACGGGTTTGGGGCCGGGTACAGTGACAAAGACGTAGAGGAGTTTGTTTGCAATGCTTGCCTTGGTTCCAAAGGTCACCGCCTTCCCTTTCCCGACTCTGAGTCGCATTCCGCCGAGAGACTTGGCCTCGTGCACAGCGACATCCTGTCGTTCCCCACTCCGTCCTTGACCGGGAAGCGCTACCTTGTCACGTTTCTAGACGACCACTCTCGCAAACTCTGGGCATATGCGATCGATCACAAAAGCGATGTTTTCCCGACCTTCCAGACTTGGCTCGCCGAAGTGGAGTTAGAGACGAACGCGCGGTTGAGAATCCTTCGAACCGACAATGGCGGGGAGTACCGATCAAACGCATTCACGGAGTTCTGCAAATCCAAGGGCATTCGTCGTCAATACTCTATCCCTTACACGCCTCAACAAAACGGTCGCGCCGAACGTGTCAACCTCTCCATCGTCGAGGGCGTCCTCGCTCTCCTTGCGGACGCCCGTCTGCCGGCCACCTTTTGGGATGAAGCGGCTGCGTATTTCGTTTATTGCAAAAACAGGTGCTCACACTCAGCTTTGGCCAAACAGACTCCAGAATCCGTTTGGAACGGCCAACGCACCACCGCCACCGCCCTCCACCCGTTCGGCTGCACAGCCTGGCTCACGGTCGCCCCGGACCTTCGCAGCAAGCTCGACCCCAAGGCCGCGCGCGTGATCTTCACAGGTTACGACCTCGCCTCCAAAGCTTTCCGTTTCTTTGACCATTCCATCAACAAGATTGTACTTGGTCGCAATGCCACCTTCCTCGACGACGACTTCCCCGGCCTGCCAGTCACCACGCCCGTCGATGCAGACGACACCGACCGTCAGTTCGTCGTTCCCGCCGACACGCCCGCCCCTGCCGTCAAGACGAGGACCCCACTAGTAAGGTCGGCGCACATGGACGTCTCATCCTCCCTTGATGATTCTGCCATGAGCGCCGTTGACGTGGCCCCAGGGTACACTGGCGGAACCTTACTTAATTCCACAGATACCGAATCGTCCTCGTCACCGTCTCCTGAGCCGTCCTCGTCACCGTCGCCCACAAACCCTTTGTCACCGTCGCCTGCGCTGTCACCGTCGTTGGCAGCGTCATCGTCACCCTCGGTCTCACCGACCGACTCTGACTACTCCGCCGACCCTCTGGACCTCATCGGCTCACAGACCCCGACTCGCCTTGGCCCACCGGACGTGCACCGCCCAGACTTCAGCACGTACCGTGAGCCCGCATCGGCTGAGGAGTCGCCCGACGAACTCGACATCATTGGGCGTCACTCGCGCGATGAATCGCCGGATGAAATCGATTTCCTCACCCAACACCACCGCGCCTTCATCGCCACAGACGACGACGACCCCACCCTCGACGCCATCGAGCCCGTCAAATCGATCACTAGCGACCCCCAGACCTGGCGCGAAGCAATGTCCAGCGACGAGCACAACATCTGGGCTGAGGCCGCCGCCGCCGAGTTCACCGCCATGCGCGACGACTTCAAGGTGTTCACCATCGAGCCTCGCTCATCTGTACCGCCGGGCGCCACCATCGTCACCTCCAAATTCGTCTGGAAGACCAAGCGCAACGCAAGCGGTGAAGTCACGGGGCGGAAGGCACGTCTTGTAGCGCAGGGTAACCGACAGCGCGACGGCATCGACTTCTCAGAAACCTTCGCACCCGTCGCCCGTTTCTCCTCCATTCGCTGCCTCCTGGCTCTTGCCGCTGCCAATGGCTACCACGTTCATCAGGCCGACATCGACAAGGCTTACCTCCACGGCGAGCTCGATCATGATATCTGGATGACGACACCACGCGGTTTCGACTTCCCGAGCGATAAGGTTCTCCGGCTGCGACGCTCAATCTACGGTCTCAAGCAGGCCGGTCGCATCTGGAATCGTCACATTGACACATCACTCAGGAATCTGGGGTACAAGGCAACAGGCACTGATCACTGCATTTACTCTCGCATTGACGATCAGCAGCGGCCTCACTATATCGCCTTGTATGTCGACGACCTCCTCATTGTCAGTCCAGCCCTCGACGAGATCGAACGTGTCATCTCCGGCCTTGAACAGCGGTACGGCGTCAAACGACTCGGCCCCGCGGAGTACATCCTCGGAATCCAAATACGCCGCCTGGACGACGGTTCCATTGCTCTATCCCAGGAGCGCTACATCATGGACGTGCTGGCCCGTTTCCACTTCGACACCACGACACGCGGCACTACGGTGCCGATGACGCCCGGCCTCTCGCTCACGGCAATTCCGGGTCAGGGAACGGAGCGCATTCGTTCGTGGTACCTACAGGCCATCGGCTCCCTCCTCTACATCTCCTTGGCACTCGACCCGACATTGCCTTCGCCGTCTCGTACCTGTCCCGGTTCGCCAACAACCCCGGCCGCCGCCATTGGATTGCCGTCAAACACGTCCTTCGCTACCTTCGCGCCACGTACCGCGATGAGCTTCTCTATGCCCGCGGCCCAGCAAAAGTCACGGGTGTGGTTGGTTATTCTGATGCGAACTGGGGCGCCTGCGTCGACACATCCATTTCAACGATGGGCTACGTATTTTACTTGGCAGGCGCCGCTGTCTCTTGGTCGTCGAAGCGTCAGACTCGGGTAGCGGATTCCACCACTGATGCCGAGTACCTGGCCTTGTCGCACGCGGGTAAGGAAGCGATCTACCTTAACCAACTCCTCTCCGAGCTCCACGTTTGCCCAATCGCTGCAGCTCACATCTTCACCGACAACGAGGCCGCGGCCGCCGTCGCTCACGACCCCGTTCGCACCTCCGGCACCCGGCACATTCGCCTCCGCGAGCATTTTGTCCGTGACATGGTCAATCGAGGTGATATCTCTCTCTCACACGTTGGCACAGCAGACATGGTTGCGGACGTAATTCACCAAAGCGCTAGGCCCAAGATTTTTGGTACACATTGCTATGCTCTAGGCCTCCGGACGCGACATCCACGGCTCAAGTCTACCTCGCGTTCGCGTGGGGGGGGGTGTGAGGAATCCACTCTCCGCTCGGCTCAGGACTTAGGCGCGCGGAGCGAACCGGGCGCGGACTTAGGCGCGCGGAGTGAGCCGGGCGCCCCGGCCCAGGATTAGGCGCGCGAAGCGAGCCTGGGACTTAGGCGCGCGGAGCGAGCCTGGGCATTGGCTCAGCCCCAGGCTCGCTGGCTGTGGACTTGGGGCGCGCGGGTCTCTTATTGTTAGCTTCCTATTCATCACTCTTGGCTATAACTACATCGCTGACGTAGTAGAGTTGATTGAATAGGTATGTTGAAATGCATTCATCACTCTTGGCTATAACTACATCGCTGACGTAGTTAGAGTTGATTGAATACGAAGTGGCACCCGAGTCGACGACGAAGGAGTTGTTGCGAAGCTGACGACGATGTGCGAGAAGACCGGTGGCGAGACATCCGACATGGTGTTGCGCATCAGAGGTGTCGGGCGTTTTCCCGTCCTCAAGAGCCTTTTTGCAGTCGAAAGACCAGTGGTCCTTCTTCTTGCAGGAGCGACACGGGCCTGGCGGTGGATGCTGGGCCCTTGTAGGGCATTGTGCGACGCGGTGAGAAGGGCTGCGACAGGCGAGGCACTTGGTACGGGTAGAACGTGGCGACGACGAGGCAAGGAGGGCCGATTGATCGTTGGAGAGGTTCGTTGACCGGAGTTGAACTCGCATACGGTCGGCCACTGAATCGATGTCAGGGAGAGTTCGTTGCGTGCGTTGTTCGTCGGTGAACGTTGCCTTGAAGCTCTCGAGTGACGGGGTGGGCGATCGCGAGGAGGAGTGTGGCAAGGACGTCGTTGATCGTCGTTTTCGTATCGATGATCTCTTGCGCGACCGACTTGAAGTCCATGATCCAACTGTCAAATTCGCCAACCGTTCCGGGCATGGGTCGGAAGCCCCAGAGTCGCGAGAAGAGCTCGAGCGTGCGAGTGGCGTCATCAGGGGCGTATCGCGATTTCAGCGTCGAGTAAATCTTGGGCGCTGTGAGGTCGGCCGTAGGGATCTTGTCGAGGACTGCCGAGACTTCGGCCGAGTCGATTGAGTTTGCAAGGATCTCGCGTGCCACGACGTCGGGGCGGAGCGTTGCGAAGGCGTCCAATCGTCGGGGGGTGATTCCGTCGAGG